AAAGACACAGAACCCCCGTATAGCCTTGAACAGACTATTGGGGCAAGTGTGGTTAGCGAGTAGCACCTGTGAAGGAACAGTCCACGAGGGAGTGGATGACCAGCACCACGCCCGACCGCCTTTGTCTCCCCAGTAGCGATGCCTACACACCGCACCAGGTAACCATTTGAGTATCGAGGGGGAGCCCAGGACGACCGCTTCATATGATCGCTGTCACTGGTTTTAACCCCTACGCTACCGCTCCACTCTGCATACTCTCCCCCGCAAAACTCACACATTACAAATCAAATCGTCATCATTATCATCATCCTTAACATAATAATTATAAACACTTCAGGAGCGATTCCAACGAGGTTAAATCGAACGTAAAAGCTCGCAGAGGGCAAACGAATGATAGATTATAAACGCCAGTCAATGTGATCGTGGTCTTCACGGGGGCAGGAGGGGATTTGTCAAAACTGTGGCCCCCTGCAGTTGTCTGGAGGCACGTGGAGCGTTTCCCTTCGTTGCTGAGCTGTGAGAGGAATGATTCGAGGGTGGAGATTGGGTTAAGGTTCGGGTTAGGGTGGTGGTCGGAGAATCCTTCAGAGAGCAATTTGCTCCCAACTCGGAGATACACGTTACATGATGCGAATGTTTAACGCGTAGTGGCCTTTCGCGATCGGTATTATTCATAACAAAGGCTTTGTCGGTTAGATCGCGTAAGTATAAATGTGTCGTAACCCTCCACCACCCGACACGGCCAGTAAGGTTTGTCACGTAAACAACGCGCCAATTAATTACTACTTCAGCCCACCGGTGTGTTGGAGAGTACATCCATAAGATGTACAATGTTAGTAACGAATTGGCGGTCCCACCATAAGGTTAAATTGTATAACTCGGTGAGCTTTACCCTTGTTGAACAAAAAATAATTCGCTCACCGCATGAATGTTGTGAAATTCCTTTCGTGTGGGCGTCTTGTGGATTGTGCAGCGATGTGATAATGCAGTTTGCATGAATCACACTGCTATATTAAAGCGCTCATTATCCTAATTTCAGAACAAATCTAACGCTAATCTCGCCTAACGTTGCTCATTAACGAACGATGCCCATCCCCTGACACACTGCACAGACTTCGTCCGCAACGGCATCATCAGCGGTGACATCTACACGATCGTCCAGATGTCTCGTGACTCACAATATTCTCGCAGATATCTAGTCGGGGCAGGGCAGAACGGTACAACAACAAACATTCATTTCTATTCTTGGTTATTTCGGTAAAGTCACGTAGAAGGGAAATAATAAAATAATATAAATATAAAACTAAAAAAATTCTCACGACGTTTCGACTGCAACACAAGCAATCGTCATCAGGTGTGAAATCCACATAAAGAAAATTATAAAAAAAAGTGGCGGTTTATCACAATATTCATTTCTGTTTTAAATGAAGCTTACTTTTTTGTTAACAAATCAAGTTACGTTTTCGAGAATTAAATGGGGGTTCGTTTATAAGACATCTGAACCTCCGTGGAGTTGTTCCTGCCGATGAAGCCGTTTGTGAGAAGCGACCTGGCCATGAAGCTGCTCATCAGGTGCAAATGTTTAGCAGCAGCCAAATACTCGAAACGCGTGATGTTGATTCTAAATGTGGAGGGGGAAGAGATCATCGTCTGCAGCGTCATCGGCAAAAATCTGCAGAATTATCAGCAGCATCAACAGGATCATGGTTATCAGCAGCAGCATCTGCATTGTCTTTGTGAACTATGCTGCTGCTGGTGGTGATGCTGCTTGCTGATGAAAGTGAAGATGTGAGTGGGTGGGTGAGGGGTGGGTGTGGGGTGGGTGAGTGGGTGGGTATGGGGTGGGTGAGGGGTGGTTGAGCGGTGGGTGAGTGGGTGGGTGAGCGGTGGGTGAGGGGTGGTTGAGCGGTGGGTGAGGGGTGGGTGAGGGGTGGGTGAGCGGTGGGTGAGTGGGTGGGTGAGTCGGTGGGTGAGGGGTGGGTGAGCGGTGGGTGAGGGATGGGTGAGCAGTGGGTCAGTGGGTGGGTGAGCGGTGGGTGAGCGGTGGCTGAGCGGTGGGTGAGGGGTGGGTGTGGGGTGGGTGAGCGGTGGGTGAGTGGGTGGGTGAGCGGTTGGTGAGCGGTGGGTGAGCGGTGGGTGAGGGGTGGGTGTGGGGTGGGTGAGCGGTGGGTGAGTGGGTGAGGGGTGGGTGAGCGGTGGTGCAGCGGTTAGCGCTACGCTGCGCTACGAACCCGGCGTCCCGAGTTCGATTCCCGCTCACGGCCAACACCGAGTGACGATTATCTGAACCGGTCATGGGCCTCCCCTAGGTCGACTCAGCCTCACACGATGTGTAAACATCGCCACTGGGGAGACAAAGCCGACCGGGCGTGGTCGCTGGCCACCCACCCCCTCGTGTGCCGTTCCGGCCTTCATAGGTGCTCGCTAACAGCACTTGCCCCGACAGCCTGCTAGAGCCTATCACGGGGAACCTTTGTCTTTGTATCTCTCGTGCACAGGGACAGCTGCCACGGCTGTCGCAGCAGCAATCCTCGCCACCCCAAGCTGACCGAAGCTTGGCATGGACCCTCCTCTCAACGAGTTAATGGGGACCTCGAATGAATGAGAGAATGAATGAATGAAACATGTGTCAGCTGATCCCAACAAAGATGAGTCAGCAGTCACGCGCGCGGCGGTCACGTGACCCGCCCACGCGACCCCCCCCCCCTCCCCCGCGGCCGCCGCCGTCGCTCCTCCCACCAGCAGGCGAGGGAGGGGGGAGGGCACTAAGCGCGCTCCTGGTCACGTGAACCACAAAGACAAAGTTCCCCCGGGGTGCCGTGTAGCCTTCCCAGAGTCGCTGGGGCAAGTGCTCTTAGCGGCTGTGAAGGCCGCAGGGCTGGGTCAAGGATCTTGGCAGGGGCCCTAGGCCAGGGACGTGTTGTTCAATAGGCCCGGGCACTGTGCCTAGGGCCTACGAAACTAAACCTGACAATTTGTTTTTGGTTGTATGATTTAAAAATGTTTTACCAAGATATCTTCTTGAGTAAAGATATTTACACAGAGGCAGAGTCATGTCAATATTTTTTCATCCGGTGAGATGACTATTTCAGATGAACACCGGAGATGACCATTTTGAGATAGTTTTTATTGAAAAATTAGCAAATAAACATCTTCAAATTGTGTTTTTTTGTTCGCAATATCTCATTCCCTACAGAGAGCAGAGCGAGGGTAGTAAACACGAGGCAGCAGCAGTAAAGTTATCACTGCAGGCCCACGAAACAGAAGTACCATCGGGCCTTCAAGGACCTTAATCCGGCCCTGGGAGCCAGTCCTCAAAAGCATGCGACTCCCAGGACCAGATTCAGGTTCTTGTAGGCCCCAGATCACTTCGGTTTCGTATGTCTACAGTGATAACTTTATACAATTGCATACCTTTCAAGCCCTTATCAGTGCCCACCTCATTACAGAGCAGTTCAGACCTTATTGACCACCCCGTGCCACTTATAATCTCAACGTGCATCCGACAAAGTCCCATGATCACAGGGGAGAGACACAAACACAGACACATTTTTTGTCTGTGTTGAAACGGCTGTACGCCGTGTCGGACCTGGAAACTCAATTTCCATGTACAAGAATACGGGGTAAACCGTACGGATTGACACGGTACGCAATTGCTACTGCTGTTGCCCCATGTCACTACTATCACCGCCGTGACCCGGCTTGTTTCATACTTTTTCCAGCCAGCCACTGGAAGAGACGTCGCCACTGCTGATGATACATTCATTTTCTTGGTTCTTTCGGTAAAGTCACGTAGAAGGGAAGTAATAAAATAATACTTTATTATTAAGTAATAAAATAATAGTAATAGAATAATATTTTCTTACTTCCCTTCTACGTGACTTTACCGAAAGAACCAAGAAGATGAATCCCTGCAGTCACGAAAGCTTTAGATCGAAAGATACACTCATTATTCACTTTGTACCCTCAATCCATGGGAGAGAGAGAGCGCTTTGAGCCACAGATGAGCAGATTTAATTTGAAATTGTTGAGATTTCTAAAAAATTCAAGCGAAAATGTTTCAACTATTCCTTTGTACTATGATTATCACATCGGATGACGCAGCTTTAAAATGATGCCGTGAAATTTCATCGATGAAAAAAAATCGTGAATTTCCATCGATAACAAAACTAAATCGTGGGCCCTTTAGATTTTCGCAGGCCCTTGGGCACCGTGTCTACCGTGGCCTCTTGGACAATGGGGCCCTGGAACTGGAAGGCCCTTGGGCGCCGTACCCGGCGAGGGTTGGTGGGCCGACAACCACGCCCGGTCGCCTTTGTCTCCCCCCGAGGGGTCGACGTGAACACACGAACTCGTTTTAAGGGCTGAGTCGACCTAGGCGAGGCCCCAGGACCGACTGCGTCGCTTCTGCAAGCGAAGCTGATGGCTCCGTGGGCTTTGCCTGGGTCAAATTGATTTCAAGTTTAGTTTTGTGTTTTATATTATTTTGTTTAGGCGATTTGTTTACCTTTCCTATACGTTGCACCCCTATCGCGTTTTTGGTATTTTTTGTTCTTGTAGCTTTTTGAACCCCTATCCTACCGGACAAAAAGAGCTTTGTAGCTCATCGGATTCCTCCAGCATAACCGTTCTGACCTGTACCCCCCCCCCCTTCTACCGGACATCTGTGAGAAGAAAACAAAGAGAGAGAGAGCTTTGTAGCTTTTCGGATTCCTCCAGTAATATCTACGTATGAAAGAGAAATGGGAAAAACCACAGATTCTGAGCTTTACGAAGCGCGCTAACCGCTGCGCCACCGCTCCCCCCCATGCGAGACCACGGCGGCTGCCAAGAGGAGGAGGAGCCAATAGGAGGAGGAGGAGCCAATAGGAGGAGGAGCCAAGAGGAGGGGGAGGAGCTAAGGGGAGTGGGAGGAGCCAAGGAGAGGGGGAGGAGCCAATAGGAGGAGGAGCCACGAGGAGTGGGAGGAGTCGGGGTGATGAAGTTAGCGACCGCGACCTCAGATCGACGTCAGACTCGTGAGGTTTGATCCGACGACGCCGCTCCTCCCTCTCCTGCGTCTTCTTCTTCTTGTTCCGCCTTTCTCGCTCGAGTCGTTCCCCGAGCCGCCAAGATGCTGTGTGGAGGAACTCACAAGGTGCAGACGGCCACAGCGGACATCCAAAAGATCGCCGACGAGGTGAGTAAGAGGAGGAGGAGGCTTCAACCCCCAGCGCTGCGCTCATCTGTCACGGCCCCGCGTTGTCACAAAGACAAAGATGACCCCTCCACCCCCTCCACCTCGTCAAGTCCTCCCCGGCCGCCTTTGTCTCTCTAGTGGCGACGTTGACGCCACAGCAGCAGCAGCAGGTTCACCACTCGGGCATTCGAGGTGAGGGCCCAAGCCGCGACTCACGGACCCGTTCGGGGTAGCCGCTGTGGCCCCGTGGCCGTGGAGGTCGTGGGCCGGAGTCGAACTCGGGTCGCCGGTCCTGTCGCCAGAGATCGATCCATAGACGGGGCATTACGGGCCAACACAGAGCACAACAAACACGCGTCTAACAACAACAACAACAACACTTTGTGGCCGTAAAAGGTGGGGGAATTGGCGACGTTTCGAGCCGTGGCCCTTATTCATGCCACGTAAATAGGTCCGAGAGATGAGTGGGTTAAGAGTTGGGGACTTTGACACCACAGAGGCCCTATGATAATGACACGTTTACGATTGTTTTTATAGTTTAACACGTGGTCTTGCGCGAGCGATATCCACAATACAGGTTCGTTTTGGGTGAGATCGTCGGATGTAAATGTTGTGGGTTTTAGCTCTCTACTAGTAACGAATTGGCATGTTCTGTTTACGTGACAACCCTTACTAAATTTCGATTTAAAGCTTTCGTGACTGCAGGGATTCATCTTCTTGGTTCTTTCGGTAAAGTCACGTAGAATGGAAATAATAAAATAATAAAAATAGAACGTGAGAATTATTTTATTATGTTTTATTTTTATTATTTTATTATTTCCATTCGACGTGACTTTACCGAAAGAACCAAGAAGATGAATCCTTACTAAGGGGCTGTGTCGGGTTTAACGACGCATATTTACGCGATCTAACCGAATCAAACCCTGTACTATGAGTGTGTTTTGTATAATTACACAATAGTGCCACCAGGCAAGGCATAGGGCGAACGAGGAAGTGAAAGTCGCTTGTTTTCTAAAGGAGTTATAATAATTACTAATCTAATGTTGTCTTTGGAAGGCCCTAACACAGGTGCTTAAATGCCCACAACACTTCGTAGTCCATTATTAATTGGGGTCAACTTTATATTCATCATAAAGGTTTTATTCAATTTTTAGTACAAATTGTAAATGTCGTGGATTTACTCTCCAACACACCGGCGGGGTGAAGTGGTAAACTAATTGGCGCGCGTTGTTGACGTGACAAACCTTACTGGCTGTGTCGGGTGGTGGAGGGTTACGACACATTTATACTCATATTCTTGGTTCTTTCGGTAAAGTCACGTAGAAGGGAAATAATAAAATAATATAAATATAAAACAATAAAAATTCTCACGACGTTTCGACTGCAACACAAGCAATCATCAGCTGTGAAATTCTTGCTGTGGATTTCACACCGAAACGTGAGAATTTTTATTGTTTTATATTATTTTATTATTTTTCTTCTACGTGACTTTACCGAAAGAACCAAGAATATGAATCCCTGCAGTCACGAAAGCTTTAAATCAAGACACATTTATACTTACGCGATCTAACCCAAAAAACCTTTATTATGAATATTGGTCGCGAAAGCGTACGTGTTGACTTTATATGATATACAGGACTGTATATATTTAATTTTGCGTTGCCTATGACCGAATGTCACCCAGAATTCATCACATTTCCCAACTCAATTAGGGTTTGAGCCTCAATAGACAATATGATAAATAGCAGGATGGACAATGGCTAAAGACCTGTAACGTGTAAGTTTGTATTCAATTCCATGGTGGGGCTATTGTGTTTATTTTCAGGGAATGAGATGGATTATAAAATAACGTTTAATTGCTTACGCAGGAAAGTCACGCTGAGAGTCAGTCGTAGGAGCCTGCTTCAAGAGGGCCCTGCATTGGTTTTTATTTAAGGATATAAGTTTTTTCAGAAAGTTAACGGTGAGTGTTTATACACGTGGGAGGAAGCAGGAGCACACACAACGTGCGAGGGGGCAACACTCTATCCCGTAAAGATGACCCAGGGTGTGGCACCTCGACGCCTACGGGGAAGGGGAAGTTTCGCAACATTTGTGCAATTCACCAACCTCATAACGAGGGGTACAGCGTTTGGGGTAAATTTAAATGTCTTTCATCACTTGTTCAAACTTGATCTTGGCCATTGTACAACTGGTTTTTCGTGTGGCTTAGAAGGGTTCATACATCTAAAAAAAACTCTTAATTCTTACGCTTCATCTACGAGCGGTTGGTGAAACCACAGCCTTGCGGTTATTTCACGTGGCTCGATGCCACATGAGGTCTGGGGCTTTGGAACGGCCCACAAACAATACTCTTCAATCCCTGCAACAACAAAACATCACCTTCGCCGCGCCCATCAGATACTGGGATATGAGTGGAGGAATCCGTTCCGCCTTGGCAACAGCGCTTCCACTTCTTGCTTCATCGCAAATGTAATCGTTTTTAACCATTGCATGAATTGGTTCCAATTTGTTGCAAAACATTTTTTTAGAAAGTTGAAAACAAATTTTTTTTTTATTAAACTCACTACTTTTAACACAATTTTTGTCCCCATTGTGGCCATTTAATGGTACTCTCTCAGAAAATAACCCATCACTTCTTCTTGGTTCTTTCGGTAAAGTCACGTAACTTTACCGAAAGAACCAAGAAGATGAATCCCTGCAGTCACAGAAAGCTTTAAATCAAAACCCATCACTTGCTTTTTGTTACTATTTTTCATGGCTTGCATTTCAACACGATTTGGATGCATTGTTTTATATGAGTAGGACCATATGTGTTCCGTGGCTTTACACAATACATAGTTGCCAAAGTAGGAAACAGAGGTGGTCTCTGATGTGGTGTATTTAAAAATCTGAATTTAAAAGCCAACGACCGATAAAAGCCCTCCTATGTTTATCCAAAACATCCAAGGCAGTTCGGGGGTCAGCTACCACCGCCGAGACCCTGGGGTCAAATCCTGGTTTCAGCTGCCTGTCATTAAACTGGAATCTCAGGTGTGGTTCGTTGATGGTCTCAACCCAGGTCACCATTGATTGACTGCATACACAAAAAACAACAATAATACATGCGTTTTTTGTCATAAAATTTGCACAAATTCCACTTTTGAGAATTAAAATGTTTTACTCTCCACCGGTGTGCTGAAGTAGCAACTAATTGGCACGTTTTGTTTACGTGACAAACCTTTACTAATCGACTGTGTCGGGACGGTGGTGGGTTTAACGACATTTATATTTACCCAAACATAACCTCTGTTATAGAATAGCCAAAAAATTGGGCTTGCTGCCGTGCAGCGAATTCCCCTACACAGCAAGGCTCGCACCCTCACGGCGGCTCTTCGTCGAGCGTGGAGAAGAGGCAATGGAAGAGATCTCAGGCTGTAGATCCGTCATATCTTGCCAGAGGCTGTGTGCCAACATGAGGCTGCTTTGTGTGCGAGAGAGACGGCGTCATGTGTCTTGAGACACTACCGGTTCTCGTGATACCGATGAAGCACAGCTGGAATCTAAATTTGAAAGAGACGGTGATATTCGTTAAACATTATTGAGCAAAAAGAAGACTAACATTCAGCCGGGTGCAACAAGCGAGCTTGGGACGGAACGCACCCATGGAAAGTGGTCATAAATGAACTTCTGCGTAAATCCGTTAATGCTAAAATTGACCTGATTTCAACATCGAAATCTAGTGCAAGATTCCCAATTCCGGCCACAAAACAAAACGCCTACTTTTTATAAAGTCGTGAAACGCATTTGTGAGAAAGTGGTTTGTTATCGCCACCCCGCAGATGAAGTCGCACGCGGAAGAGAAGACGGGCAAGAAGTTCAGCGTCTTCGAGGCGAAGACCTTCACCACGCAGGTGGTGGCAGGGACCAATTACTTCATCAAGGTGAGATGGGGCATGCAGCCGCCCCCTGCCCACAGCGTCGCGCAGTAGGACGTCGCGATTGGCACAAGCCACCGGTCCTTGTGCTTTGTTCATCTCGGTCGGGTCGTGCCTGTCGTGGCTGTCGTGGCTGGGGCAGTGGCGTAGCGATCTGGCGTGGGTAACGGGTGGGGAGGGTGGCACCAGACGCCATCTCTCTTGCCCGGGCTGCAGGAGGTCGTGGGTTCAATCCCGACCCCGACACCCGCTGTATATTTGGAGTTTGCGGTGTCTCTCTCTCTCCCCGTGGTCGCGTAGATTTTATTTATGGGTCCTCCGCTTTTTCCCTCCACATTGAGAGTGTGGAGAATGTGTTTTAAATTTCAACGTGATGATGAGCCAATTTGTTGAGCTATCATTTGTGGTAGCCAGGCCGCTTCTGAAAAAAGAGTTATATAGATCAGTGGGCCTTAACCTGGTAAAATAAAAATAGTTTTTTGTTTTCTATAGAGCGCGAAATCGCACAATACGAGCCCGCATAAAGCGAAGGCAGCCTGTGTTTGCCCAATGGCCGGAGAGTAACAAACATGTTCCTTCGGAGTGGGCAGGCAGGAACTTGGTTGGACGGCGCATTCGTGCGATCCGTGTCACGCGGCGCAAGCTGCGTGGGGCGGCACGTCACGTGGTGCTGAGCCCGCCGGAAGCGCTCTATGAAATACAAATCGAGGGCGTGGCTATGCACGACAGTCAGACAGACAAATAATCCCTGGTGGGCAGTGTGGAACTGTTGTTCCTATCTGTATAACAACCGAACTGAACGCGTCAAAATTGCTTTGTTTAATTCCCATCGTGCCCAACAACACTCGTCATGACCTGACGACGCACCGAGAGCTGTGCAGCGCACCTGCGAACACCCGCGAACACCTGCGAACACCTGCGCCGTGCTGGAATGACATCGCCTTCGCCTCGTTTTGTGAACCCCGCGCTCTTCCCTTGCCGCCCTCCCGCCACCGCGCCCTCCCCAAGGTCCACGTGGGGAACGAGGAGTACATTCACCTGCGCGTGCACGAGCCTCTGCCGCACACGAACGCGAAGCGCAGCCTGCACAGTGTGGAGCACCCCAAGAAGCTGGGCGACGAGCTGAAGCACTTCGGCTGAGCCGGAATCGCCAGTGGCCACGCGTGCGTGCTTGTGCGTGCGCGTGTGCTTGCGCGCGCCCGCTCGCTCGCCAGAGCAGAGCACGCAAAATGCGTTACAACCGACCGCTCGGTTACTGCCACCACCCTTTTACCACGACTCTTGCGATTGTGTAAATGACGGCCCATTCCCCATTGTTAATGCACGGTGCAATCGACGTTCATTTGTGCTGGCCTCGGTTTATTTGATGCGTCATGATGCCGTGGCGACAGGGAAGCAGACCAACACTGTGGGTTTCCGCCGGACCGGCTCAATGTTTTTTGGATTTTCCGAGAAGACAAACTTAACAATTTGGACCAAAATCCTAGTCTGCTATTTTCTTCCATGAACCGCCGTCTTTGCAGTTTGAGAAATTGACTTTTCCTGCTCGCTGCGAATTGACAGATTTGGAGAAGTCGATTGGCAGAATTCATCCGAATGTCCGCGTATAGAAATGCATTGTAGAAAATTACGGGTAAAAATGATACGTAGAACTCGAGTTATAAAAATACGATGAAAAATAAGAACAGGTTTTATACCCTTTTTGACAATAATACAAGAGGTATTAAGATGTTCAAACACCAAATAGACACCTTTTGCAAGGGACAAAGTCTACATTAACCACACATGTGGCAAAACATGAATCAAACATGCTCTGATAATATACGCATTGTCTTTAAAACTGATTGGCCTACACCAGAAGACAGCCTTCTTTATGGCCGTGTCTCACCGCCGGTGTTAATGCAGAGAACGCCGAAAGGCGAACGGTGCAGAGGCAATGCGAGTGTCTGAGCATTTATAGCTCGGGTAGAGCAGTTTTTACTAAAAAGGTCCCAACACGTTTGAGCAGAACGATGCAAATAAAACATTTCTTGTAGGAGAGCAGGCCTGGTGGTGAATGACGCGGTCTATAAATGGTCTCGCGTGTTTAAGGGAAAAACTCGCGGGCTGAAACTGCAGTAAACGTTGATTTTGTACGAGAGATGTATTAATTTGTGAGCTTCTGAAGTACAATCCTGGTGTGTTCGGCTGCGGATCGTGGGTGTGGGTTTAGCTGATTGATCAATAAATGGCTTTAAAAAAAAAGCAACACCTGGTTTGTGACTTGGTGAGTGGGTGGCGAGGTGAGTGCTGGGTGAGAGATGGGCGAGTGGGTGGTAAGGTGGGCGGAGTGGTGGGTGAGATGGAACCCGCTCATCCCGCAAACAATATCTAGAATATTCAGGAGGGGGCGGCATTGCTTCAAGAGTTGTGCAGGGAAATTGAAAGTCATGAATGGCATTTCAGGCCCCTGAAAAACGCCCTGCATGAGTCAGTGCGAAACTGGCCTATGATCTAATCACCCGACATATGTCCAATCTCGTTAGGTTAGTCCAGATGGAGCCAGGATAGTTGTTAGCTGCGCTTTATGGGGCCGTCTGGAACGCTCTTCCGATATGAGGAAGCCACTGGGTTATGCACTTTTAAATCTCGATCGAAAGTAGTTTTTGAGAACTTCTGTTGGTGTTTAGTTTGGTGTCCTTCCAGCGCACCTCCGATGAGCACGGTTGGCTACGTGCGGTGCGAAAGAAGTTCAACAACATACACCGTGCCTGCCAGGTTGCTTGAGGCTGCCGTGTGGCAACGTGGTGGGCAGCAGAGGTCACTGCAGCAAAACACATTTGTGTGGTGTACTGCACTCTACCCCCCCTGCTCACCAACACGAAGTATGGTCAAATAACCCCCACGATCCACATGGAATTAGGGAGGCTCTCATCTAAAACCCACAACATCATGGGTGTGGGTTTAGCTGATCAATAAATGGCGTGATAAAAAACTGGTTCTGACGGGGTGAGTGGGTGACCAAGGTGAGTGATGGATGAGTGGGTGGCATGGTGAGTGCTGGGTGAGTGGGTGGCATGGTGAGTGATGGGTGAGTGGGTGGCATGGTGAGTGCTGGGTGAGCGATTTGTTTTATTGATCAACAAACGGCATTGAACAGCCCGTTCTGTTGACAGCATCTGCGTCTCAAGTTTATTTTAAAGTTACCGCATCCGCACACCGGAGTTCGGTGTTAGTGCACCGTCGGATTGTGACTGCAGACTCACGTTTACAGACGCCGAGTGCAGATCACGCAATCGACAGATTTGCGAGCCCAGCCTACAAATTACACCCTGATCCGCCTCGCAGAGGGCAGGATTGCAATTGATGCTCGTTCATGTGAATTATAAATCCATGTCAAATTACCACGCCATAACTAATTCACCGAAGGGCCGATTCGGATTTGTAATAATAAATTGCTGTGCAGTTTTTTTCCCTCCCCTTCACATACCGTGTCAACGCATACGGGTTTACCCCGTATTCTTGTTACAGGGATATGGAGTTTTCAGGTCCGTACGGCGTACAGCCGTTTCAATGCGGGCAACGCTGTTTTGCCTATTTGTTTGTGTTTCTCCCTTGCGATGGGACTTTATAGGATGAACGTTTGAGATTCATAGGGGGTGACCAATAAGGTCTGTAACGAGGTAGGGCACTGATAAGGCGTTGACAGGGATGCCTTCGTGCGGCGGGCGTAGATTTATCTCCGAAAAAAACGCGCACAAAGCGAAACCGCACGGGGAGGCAGCGGCGCCCCCAACCAGCGAGTACAGCACGCACGTGGTGCCGTCTCCCACGTGCGATCTCGGATAGCCGCGTGTGAGCTGACCTCGCTATATTATACTGGTAGGAACCTCCTGGTCACACCAGCCCACAGGGGATTATTGTCTCCGTCCGTCGTGCAGGGAGGGGCTGGGTGGGGAGGGTGGGGCTGGGTGGGGGGTGGGAGGGGTAGGGCTGGGTGGTGAGGGGCTGGTCACCCCATGGTGCCCTTATAAAACTCAAACGTTTAACCTACTCACGCCGGCTTGTGCCCGCCCTCACAGTCGGGCATATTAGCGGAATACACCACGCCGCCGTTGACCCTGGCCATTGACCGAGCAACCCAACGTTCCTACCAGCTCCCTCCGCAGCAAAACCCTCGCCGGCCAAAACTCACCACCTCAAACTCACCGCTCAAAACTCACTCACCAAAACTCACCAGATAAACCCTCACCGGCCACTCACCACCTTTAAACTCACCGCTCAAAACTCACTCACCAAAACTCACCAGATAAACCATCACCGGCAACTCACCACCTTTAAACTCACCGCTCAAAACTCGCTCACCAAAACTCCCCAGCCAAACCTCGCCAGCCTAGATGGCTACAAATTCCACGCGCCGTTCAATAAGCACAATACGCACGGCGAGTTTGTTTTCTTTACAAACCATCCTCTGTACACTCCGGGCCTAAACGTCGTCGGGTTTACATAGTCGGCGCTGGCGGTCGATTGGCAGCATTCATCCGCGTATAGAAATTCATTGTGGAAAATTACGGGTAAAAATGATACGTAGAACTCGAGTTATAAAAATACGATGAAAAATAAGAATAGGTTTAATTACCCCTTTTGACAATAAAACAAGAGGTATTAAGATGTTCAAACACCAAATAGACACCTTTTGCAAGGGACAGAGTCTACATTAACCACACATGTGGCAACACATGCAATCAAACATGCTCTGATAATATTCGCATTGTCTTTGAAACTGATTGGCCTACCCCACCGTTGCCCCCGGTGCTCGTGTGAATCCAGGACTGCGTCCACGTGAGCGTGCTCCAGGACACGGACCGGCCACGTGATGTCGTCTCCGTGCAGGGACTCAAGCCCAACAGGCCGCCCTCCGATCCCGTCGAGTTCTTCTTCTGAAACCGGAGCCACGCGGGACGCCAACGTTTTAACTTCCCGTTGAGCGAAATGGGTGAAGGAGATATTGGTGAACGAAGCGTTGTTGTTGCCGTTTCTATTTTATTTCGCTGTCAACTGCGACTCCGATTGGACGATAACTCTCACGCTTGATGATGACTTCGACTGCCCGCCAAACACCTGGGCGGCGATTCACGGTGATGGGGACAGAAACCAACAAACCAACCGGCAGAGTCTGCGTGGAGACGCAGACGGAGAACGTTGCGTGAGGTTTCAAGCTTCAAGTTTAATTTATTAGGTATAGCCCTGTGAGCCATTCGGCTCTTGAATCGGGTGCAACCGCAACAAACAAAAAACTAAAAACAAGAAAACATCTTAAAGTGAGTTTAACACGTAGGCTTTCGCGACCAATATTATTCATACTCAAATTGTAAATTGTTGTGATTTCACGCTTCAACACACCGGTGGGCTAAAGCAGTGAACTAATTGTCTTTTGTCAACGTGACACTTTTTTACTGATTGGCCGTGTCGGGTGGTGGAGGGTTACGACATATTTATAAATAACGCGATCTAAACCCAAAAACGTTGATTATGAATCTTAAAGTGACTGTACAAACAGAAAATCCAAGAAAAGACAGCAAAATATTGCAGAAAAATATGGAACGCTTCACGAATTTGCGTGTCATCGTTAGAGGCCACGGCGCACGGAGGAAGACCCCAACCCACGGCAATTGGCTGCATGTCAAAGGTAACTTTGTCTATTTAGCTGATTGAATGACTTGATAATGATTGTGTGGGGAGCCAGGGGGCGGGGCGGGAATTGCTAACAGTGGACTCAATCTTGGACTGCTTTTCGTTGACTGCATGAAAAGGATGACCACGTTAATTCCCACAGGCTAGAATTTGACTCGCATTGACTGCGCTAAGACGATGACTCGGGTGATCGAACGCACTGCCACGCAATTCACACCGGCGAGACGCGCGGAGCGCTCACTGCTGATGGCGATTGTTTTCAATAAACCTGCAACGCTGTTTGTGTGTGTAAGAGTGCGCCGTTCTTTTTTGTTCTTAATCTGCACGCGTTTGCGGGGTTTAACATCCCAATAGATTTGTCTTCACAGCCCTCTGCTGCCTGCAAAACTCCCGTCGTCTGTACCGTGGTCACACCCACCCAGGCCCTCTCCAGGCCCACGCGTGCTTAGCTTGCTGGAGGATTGTGTGTGGGGGTTGGGTGTTGGGTGGGAGGGGGGAGAATAGGGTTGCCACCTCTTGTACAAAAATTCGGGACGTATGATGGTCAGAGGCGAACTGCATCTGAAAAATAGCCGCGCGAAAGGGGTGAAACCGCACGTCGACATTTTTACACAACTGCCAAAATATGTTTTCGTTCGCCTTGTTGTCAAGCGGGTAAAAATATACAGATGTTATATTTCTTTTCCCAGGACTAGCAGCTACCTCCTCCTCATCCTCCACATAAGGATGGACAGTCGTGGAGGAAAACTAGGACACGTGGCACTCCACACCCTGGGGCAACGTGGAGGGACGTGCTTTAGCTGGCGGTGTGGTGAGCGGCAGTGGAGACGTTAGCGAAGTGCGCTACGAACCCGGCGAACCAGGTTCGATTCCCGCTCACGGCCACCACCAGTGACGATTTTCTTGAAACCAGTCCTGAGCCTCTCCTAGGTCGACTCAAGCTGATATGAATACCTGGTGCGATGTGCAAACATCGCCACTGGGGAGACAAAGGCGGCCTGGCGTGATGTTGGCCACCCACCTCCTCGTGTGCCGTGACGGCCTTTCATAGGTGGTGCTACTCGCTAACAGCACTTGCCCCTACAGCCTGTCAAGGCTATACCGGTGAAAACGTTGTGTTTGTGTGCAGATGAGATTTAAAAAAAAAAAATCCCAGATTTGATTGAGCTCTTTCCCTGGCCACCCTCTCACGGACAACGCACGATCATCTGTCTCGGGGGGTTTCTGGCGTTGAGGCCCCGTGCCCCTCACCCCTTCAACGCCACGCGTCCTCTTCGCCTGCGACCTGCTCGCGCGAAGAGCAACAGCGGGGAGCAAGGAGGCCACAGCGCGCATGAAGATCGCTCGGGGCGGGGCGGGGTGGGGGGGGGGTGTGGGGGGCAATTGGCAAACGTTGCGCGCGCGCGCACCGCAAGAATGTGGTGGGGATCGGCGCAGTGGATGGAATCCGTGAGCGATAATCTGCGGTCGCTGATGAATTTGCAAACCGACACCCCACGCACGGCACCAGCGGGAGGGGAGGGAGTGGTGCCCCGAAATTGTCAAGCTGTTTTTCAACGTCCCCTGGAGTAGGTGTAAAAGTAAAGATAAGCCACAGTTATTGCAATGCGGTGCGATTGTGGCCACGTAATCAAAGCTATGGACCGGTATGCAGTGAACCCACAGGATAAATATTATAAAAGCGCCAACGCCGCGCACGATATATGTGAGCGGAGAGACATTTCCCATCCAGCAGTGGAGAGAATGGCTGGCTGATGTCGGTATGGAGACGGATCCGTGTGGCCGAGTGGGGCTCGCAGTCTGCAAGCACGGTGCGTCGGTGTCACTCTGAATGAGTGCGTATGTGTCGTGTTGTAAATGAAGGCGGACGACTTCTTGTCTTATTTCCGGGCCACTTGATTACAGTCTCCTTTATAACACTTGCTTAGTTATGCCGTCGCTCGTTGTCTCCCTCACTCGCCGCGTCCCTATCCTCCGCCTCTCGGCTGCCGTGTCTCGCTGTCTCAGCGGGTTGATACCACTGGTCGCCCCGGGGGTCAAGCGTGCCGACGTACGGACTGTGCTTGCCCCTAGCGACCCTATCCTAGCCGACCCAGGTCCACACAGGACCACTCTCGCCCAAGACGACTCCAACTAGCCTGGCGGGTCCGGCTTCAGCTTCTCTCGTCTTCTGTCTTCATCACACTGCCCCTCGGGCTCGTTTTGACCGTCTTATAAATCCCTCGCGACCCCTTCCAGAACATTCTCCATGAGATCCCTCTCTGATTGGCAGATGCCGGTCTTTTTGAATGTCGGTCCACCTCCCCCTTATTTACCCCAACGGTCATCCTGACCCCGACTTCTTTCGATGTCCCCAAGATCGACGCTCACCAAGCGCCGCTTCGGGCTGCCGAGCGCGGACATGCAGCCGCTATAGAATATGCCGCGTTGAACCACTACATCTGTACGACCAAGACCAGCTCCCGTCATAGCAATGGGGAATGTACGCCTGTGACAGCTAACAGAAATGAGCGCGTAACAATAAGTGAAATGTCCTTTGTCAATCCACTGCTGGATGAAGGCCTACCCATGGCACGGAAGTCATGGCGGGGCTATTTGACCATACTTCACCAGGCTGGTCACCGCGGCTTGGTGAAGATTAAGGGGGCGATTGGGACCCTGGGCCGGTTCAGGTATCACTCGCCACACCACTGATACGAGGGCGGCGTGTTGCGGGAATCTAACTCAAGCGAAAATAGCTCGCCGGTGTAAGAACCACGGAAATACAACGCCACCCATCTTCGTGACAATGATACGCATTTCACAAGTAGTACTAATCGCATATCTGCATTTCCCATAAATATGCTAAATTCCTCTTGATATGCAAATTCTTTTGTCAAGGCGCTCTTCCCCCTCCATCCCAGCTTAAATAGTCGCTCCAAGCCTGGAGTGTGTCATTCAGACTCTGTCTTCTCGACAGACCTGTTCTCCACCTGAGGACGGCTGCTGTGGCCGAAACGTCGTGAGAATTATTTTATTATGTTTATTTTTATTATTTTATTATTTCCATTCTACGTGACTTTACCGAAAGAACCAAGAAGACGTAATGACACCGACGACTCTCTTCTGGGAGCCTCTTCGTTATGGACACAGCAACAACACAAGGCCCAGGCTTCGTAATCAGCTCACGAGGCTCGCGCCTTCTCCCCTCGAAAATCCCCTGCTCCTCCTCCTCGTGTTCTCCGCCCCTTTAATCCTTCTCCAGCCCCCTTTCTAGAACTTTCCACCACCCCCCCTTCGCTGTTTGTTTCACCACAACCAATCCCCGTCCTCTCCTCCAACTTCGCCTCTGGGATCCAACTTCCGTTTTCCGCTTTTTGCCCCCCCCCCCCCCCCCGTTTCAATCTTTTCTCCAATTTTGAAAACCCCGCTTCTCCTCCCGACCAATCGTCGCGGATGACGCCAAAAGGCGCAAAACTCAAAGACAATGCACCATCAGAGTATGAGAGCTCGGGGATAAGCATTTACACCATTGGAACCTCCTTTGGTCCAACACCATGTGAGACTAGGCTCTAAGAAAAGCTGTCTCGGGTGTGGACCAATCAATTACAAGGGCAGTGCATATTACCATGAGTTGTGTTTTTTGTTTTTATTTCCGACCGTAGGTATTGTGGTCAATGCAAACATGACTCCTTGTAAAAAAAGGTGTCAGTTTTGTTGCCAGATAAAAGGGGAAAAAAACAATTATCGTGTGTCTGTATCGTTACACGTTCTGCCACGAGGCGTGTGTGGTGGTTAACGCAGACCTGATGTCTTGCCGCAAAAGGTGTTTGAACATCTTAACACAACTTCCGTTTAATTGCCAGAAAGGGTGTTCATTTAAATCTTATTCTTATCGTGTCAAAGCCGAGCTCCACTTGGTAGTATGTAAATCACGATGCTGCTGCTTCTGCTGCGTTGGCAGCGGTGCACAAGTAAAGTACTGTACAACTCTAATAACCCATCTTGCTCCGGCGGGAATATCACGTGAGCATTGAGTCCGAGCATAGACGGTCATCCAACGTCTCACGCAATTCAATAATTACAGCCACGAGAAGGGGGGCGGTGGGGAAGGAGGGGGGGGCGGTGGGGAAGGGGGGTGTGGAAGGGGGGCGGTGGGGAAAGGGGGGGGGCGGTGGGGAAGGGGGGTGTGGAAGGGGGGCGGTGGGGAAGGAGGGGGGGGCGGTGGGGAAGGGGGGTGTGGAAGGGGGGGCGGTGGGGAAAGGGGGGGGGCGGTGGGGAAGGGGGGTGTGGAAGGGGGGCGGTGGGGAAGGAGGGGGGGGGCGGTGGGGAAGGGGGGTGTGGAAGGGGGGCGGTGGGGAAAGGGGGGGGGCGGTGGGGAAGGGGGGTGTGGAAGGGGGGCGGTGGGGAAAGGGGGGGGCGGTGGGGAAGGGGGGTGTGGAAGGGGGGCGGTGGGGAAGGAGGGGGGGGCGGTGGGGAAGGGGGGTGTGGAAGGGGGGCGGTGGGGAAAGGGGGGGGGGCGGTGGGGAAGGGGGGTGTGGAAGGGGGGCGGTGGGGAAGGAGGGGGGGGCGGTGGGGAAGGGGGGTGTGGAAGGGGGGCGGTGGGGAAGGAGGGGCGGGCGGTGGGGAAGGGGGGGTGTGGAAGGGGGGGGCGTTGGGGAAAGGGGGGGGGCGGTGGGGGCGGGGGGGGAAGAAGGGGGGGGAAGGGGGGGGAAGGAGGGGGGGCGATGGAGAAGGGGGGGGGAAGGGGGGGAAGGAGGGGGGGCGATGGAGAAGGGGGGGCAGTGGGGAAGGGGGGGGGGAAGAAGGGGGGGGGAAAGGGGGGGGGAAGGAGGGGGGGCGGTGGGGAAGGGGGGGGCGTTGGGGAAAGGGGGGGGGCGGGGGGGGAAGAAGGGGGGGGGGAAGGGGGGGAAGGAGGGGGGGCGATGGAGAAGGAGGGGGGGGGCAGTGGGGAATGGGGGGGAAGAAGGGGGGGGGAAGGGGGGTGAAGGGGGGGGGAAGGAGGGGGGGCGGTGGGGAAGGGGGGGGGGAAGAAGGGGAGGGAAAGGGGGGGGAGGGGGCGGTGGGGAAGGGGGGGGGAAGAAGGGGGGGGGAGAGTGATGGAGGAGGGGGGTGGGTGTTGTGGATGCGTGGCTGCTTTGCTACCTCAGCAGCGTGCGGCGTGAGTCGCCTGGAGAAGGCGGTGGACGTGAAGGCGGTGCTGGGATCGTTCGTTAACGCGCCATTATTTATTGTTTCCACTCAACAACAAATCAACAACAAACCCCGCGTGAAATATTTGCGCCTACACATTTTTTTCCCATTATTTTCATTTCCCCCCCCCTTTACTCTCAGGCACGCGTGTAAACCACGCATCCCGCGGATGACGTAGGGGAAAGTCTTGGCAGCGCAGGGGCGAGAATAATAATAATTATAATATATTTCCTTTTTCTGTGTGTTTTTTCCCAAAGTAAGCCATGCTCCTGGGTGCTGCTGCGTCTGCGTTCATGTCTCCACCGCGAGGCTCGACCGCTCGCTCCACCACCACCACCCTGAGCCACCACCACCATCATCATCATTGCCTCCTCCTGCTCATCATCATCTCATCCTCAGCGGCTGCTGCTCTCGCTGGCGTCTCAGCCAACCCATCACCCTCGTCCACTCCACCACCACCACGGACGGACACCGTCACCACCAGCGGCACCCACCCGATGTTGTTCTTCGGCACCGAGGAGGTCCGGGCGATGAGGATGCGCGCCTCGTCCTCGCACGCCCCCCACGCCGCGCGGCTGCGGGCGGCCGCCCGCGAGATGCTGGCGGCCCCCGGCGACTTCGTGCCGCCCCGGGAGCCGTCGCTGTTCGCGGCGCAGTGGAACGAGGCGTTCGGCAACAACCTGGGAGCACTCTCCTTCTACTGCTTCCTCTACCCCAACCACACGCGCGCTCTGCAGCTCGCACTGCAGTACATGGACGCGATGGCGGTGCAGCCCAGCTGGTGCGTGTGTGTGCTGTGTGTGTGTGCTGTGTGTGTGTGCTGTGTGTGTGTGCTGTGTGTGTGTGCTGTGCTGTGTGTGTGTGCTGTGTGTGTGTGCTGTGTGTGTGTGCTGTGTGTGTGTGCTGTGTGTGTGTGCTGTGTGTGTGTGCTGTGTGTGTGTGCTGTGTGTGTGCTGTGTGTGTGTGCTGTGTGTGTGTGCTGTGTGTGTGTGCTGTGTGTGTGTGCTGTGTGTGTGTGTGCTGTGTGTGTGTGCTGTGTGTGTGTGCTGTGTGTCTGTGCTGTGTGTCTGTGCTGTGTGTCTGTGCTGTGTGTCTGTGCTGTGTGTCTGTGCTGTGTGTCTGTGCTGTGTGTCTGTGCTGTGTGTCTGTGCTGTGTGTGTGTGCTGTGTGTGTGCTGTGGTGTGTGCTGTGTGTGTGTGCTGTGTGTGTGTGCTGTGTGTGTGCGTGTGTACTGTGTGTGTGCTGTGTGTAGTGTGTGTGCTATGTGTGTGCTGTGTGTGTGTGCTATGTGTGTGTGCTGTGTGTGCTGTGTGTGTGTGTACTGTGTGTGCTGTGTGTGTGCTGTGTGTGTGTGCTGTGTGTGTGTGCTGTGTGTGTGTGCTGTGTGTGTGTGCTGTGTGTACTGTGTGTGTGTACTGTGTGTGTACTGTGTGTGTGTGCTGTGTGTGTGTGCATGTGTGTGCTGTGTGTGTACTGTGTGTGTGTGTGGTGTGTGTGCTGTGTGTGTACTGTGTGTGTGCTGTGTGTGTACTGTGTGTGTGTGCTGTGTGTGTGTGTTATGTGTGTGCTGTGTGTGTGTACTGTGTGTGTGTGTGTGCTGTGTGTGTACTGTGTGTGTGCTGTGTGTGTGTACTGTGTGTGTACTGTGTGTGTGTGCTGTGCTGTGTGTGCTGTGTGTGTGTACTGTGTGTGTGCTGTGTGTGTGTACTGTGTGTACTGTGTGTGTACTGATTGTGTGTGCTGTGCTGTGTGTGCTATGTGTGTGTACTGTGTGTGTGCTGTGTGTGTACTGTGTGTACTGTGTGTGTACTGTGTGTGCTGTGCTGTGTGTGCTGTGTGTGTGTACTGTGTGTGTGTACTGTGTGTAGTATGTACTGTGTGTAGTGTGTACTGCGTGTTTACGGTGTGTCTGTGTGTGGGTACTGTGTGTACTGTGTGTAGTGTGTACTGTGTGTGTGTACTGTGTGTAGTAGTGTACTGTGTGTATACTGTGTGTGTACTGTGTGTAGTAGTGTACTGTGTGTATTAGTGTACTGTGTGTTGTGTGTGTACTGTGTGTAGTAGTGTACTGTGTGTGTGTACTGTGTATGTAGTAGTGTACTGTGTGTATACTGTGTGTGTACTGTGTGTAGTAGTGTACTGTGTGTAGTGTGTACTGTGTGTAGTGTGTGTACTGTGTGTAGTAGTGTACTGTGTGTGTGTAGTGTGTGTAGTGTGTACTGTGTGTGTGTACTGTGTGTGTACTGTGTGTACTGTGTGTGTGTACTGTGTGTGTAGTGTGCGTATACTGTGTGTACTGTGTGTGTGTACTGTGTGTGTGTGTGTAGTGTGTGTACTGTGTGTGTGTACTGTGTGTGTGTGTACTGTGTGTGTACTGTGTGTGTGTGTACTGTGTGTGTGTAGTGTGTGTACTGTGTGTGTGTACTGTGTGTGTACTGTGCGTGTGTACTGTGTGCGTGTGTACTGTGTGCGTGTGTACTGTGTGTGTGTACTGTGTGTGTGTACTGTGTCGCGTAACGGTTATAGCTACGCTGCGTTACAAACCCAGCGACCCGGCTTAGATTCCTGCTCACAGCCAACACCAGTGACGAGTATCTGAACCGGTCCCGGGCCTCCCCTAGGTCTACTCAGCCTCAAATGAGTACCTGGTGCGATGTATGAAACATCGCCACGAGGGAGACAAAGGCAGCCGTGCGTGGTGCTGGCCACCCAACCCCCCTCGTGTGCCGTGCCGGCCTTCACAGGCGGTGCTACTCGCTAACAGCACTTGCCCCAGCAGTCTGTTGAGGCTACACGGGGGATCTTTGTCTTTGTTGACGCGGCTCAGCTTGTCGATGTTTGCGAGTGCCCTGCACGTTGCCTCTGTGCGCGTGTCGGCGAACCGAGTTCCATTCCCGCCCACGACAAACAACAACAACAATCGGCGAACACCCGAAGCGGTCCTGGTGGGCCCTCTCTTGGGTCGACTCAGCCAGAAACGAGAAACTCGTGCGGCCGCGCAAACGTCGGCACCGCAGAGGCAAAGTTGGGGCCGGGCGTGGACGAATCTCCATCGGTGCTACTCGCTCGCAGCGGCTTGCCACGGCCGCCTGTCAAAGGCTGGGGGGCTGGGGTTGGGGGGGGGCTGGGGTTGGGGGGGCTGGGGTTGTGGGGGGGCTGGGGTTGGGGGGGGGCTGGGGGTTTCTTCGTCTGTTGCTCCATCTCGACGCATGCACGCGGGCCCACCGTGCCCTCTGCGGGACACCGCCGGTGTCTTGACCCCCCCCCCCCCCCTCAAAGCTACGAGTTGGGGGGGGGGGCATTGACAACTTTGTTGTTAAACTTTATCGCTCGATTAGCTCGCAAGCGGCCGCATCACATTTACCCGCTCTATTTAAGGCCGAAGCAGGAGGGATTTCTCCACAACTCTCGCCTGCGGATGCTGGTTGTAATTGCTGGCGAAACGTCGTACTCGAATTGTACATGTTGTGGGTTTACTCTCCAGCACACGGGTGTTGCTGTAAAACACAGCAAACCTTACCGATTTGCTGTGTTGGGTGGTGGCGGGTTTAACGGCACATTTATATTGACGCGGTCTCACCGAAAAACCTCTATTATGGAAGGTTAAAGGAGAACAAAGTTTGGTTGCGAAGACGGAGCGCCCCTACAGCGTTAAGTGTTCGAGTCCGTGAGCGTCACGATGCGATTCAGCAACAGGAGGCGCGATATATAAAAGCCCCCTAGAGGTGCCACCGTGTGAAGAGACAAATCACAGCGCTTGTTGTTGTTGGATGGAGGCGAGGGCACATTTTTAAAGGGACCTAATTTACCGACTACAAAAAAAAGAGCTGTCTATGTATGATCCTCTGTAACTTCTCAGCCGACCAATCGTGTTTGAACGAACCGCGTGCCCTCCCAGGTTGGTGCGAGGCGACCCGTCCGACGAGGTGCCAATGGCCCACTCCCTCGTCGGCTTCGCCACCGCCTTCGACCTCCTGCACGGGCGCCTGGGGCCCGCGCGCCGCTCCCTCTACCTGGACGCGATCGTGGCGGCCGCCGGCTACATGTACGAGCGCTCGTTCGACCGCGGCTGGGGCCAGCAGTACCTGCACAACCACCAGCCCACCAACTGCGTGGCGCTGCTCACCGCCGGACTCGTCGTCATGGCACAGGGTAACGCTCCAACGTCGTCGTCGTCGTCAATGATGTCGGTCAGCTGTACGGTTTTGTAACTACTAGTTTAGGGGCTCCGTAGTTTTTTTTTGTGTTCGTTCGTTAGTTTCTCAATCTGCTTGTCCCGGTGAGGGTCGCGGCGGCAGCGTTTTGAGTAGTGGCGACAGACCTCCCTTTCCCTGGCGACAGACTCTAGCACTACATTACCATACACTACTACACTACTATACACTACTACACGATACACTACACTACTATACACTACTACACTACTATACACTACACTACTGTACACTATAGACTACACTACTATACACTACTATACACTATACACTACACTACTATACACTATACACTACTATACAATATACACTACACTACTATACACTACTACACGATACACTACACTACTACACTACTATACGCTACTACACTATACACACTACACTACTATACACATAGTCTCGCTCTTCCTGGGGAATTCCCAGGCGTCCCCAGGCCAGCTGAGCGACACGGTCCCAGCGCCGCCAGCAGCAGCAGCGTGTCCTGGGCTGGCCCCGGGGTCTTCGCCCAGGGGGACGTTGCTGCTGCTGCTGCTGCCCGGTAGAGGTCCAGGGGCGAGTCTACTGGGAGGCATCCTTACCAGGTGCCCGAACCACTCTTTTCACTGTTTTTTGTGAAAAGAGTGAAACGTCTTTAGCCAATCAGATTGCACGCAGATGGACGGAGTAATATTTCCCGGTCATTGAAATAAGCGGCCCCAACGCCGTGACCCCAACGCCGTGATCCGTGGTCTACATGCTTCTGGATGAGAGCCAGCGGATTGGGGGGCCGTAAACAGAATTTTTTTTTTGGTGGGTGGGGGGGAGGCGGCGTTAAAGATGCAGGGTTTCCACCTCTGAGCTGCCAAAAGTCTCGGACGCATCGTGAAAAAGACGGAGAGAGAGTAACCCACAATGCAGCAGGGCTGGGGCGGTCTGTCGTGGCAGGCGGCGGCGGCTACGCTGCTGCGCGTGTCAGCTGCCTGTGATTCAGCACCGTGTGTGGATGCAGCGGTGAGGATTGGTGGATCGCCGCACACACACACACATGTTGTTTGCGAAACTCCCTTCCCGTGGGGGTGGAGGAGGAGCCGTTACCCTGCCTCGCCAGGAGAATGCGGGACAGCAGCAAAGTGTGGACTCATCTCCTTCTGTCCCGTCTGTGTGGGGTAGAGTTGTTGCCCGCTCGACTCGTGGGTTTTCTCCGGGTGCTCCGGTTTCCTCCCTCGTCAATTGGCTGAAAACGTCTCGATATATAGAGGACTGCAGAGCTTGGGCAGTTGCGAGTTCCGGCTTACCGCCTGGCTGCTGCATTCCAGCTGTGTGCGTGTTCCGTCAGCGATTGTGAGATGCACAATGTGCAAACATTATTACGCAGTTTAACACGTAGGAGGCTTTCGCGACCAATATCATCCATAATAGAGGTTTGTTGGGTTAGATCGCGTAAATATAAATGTGTCGTTAAACCCGCCACCACCCGACACAGCCAATTAGTAAGGTTTGTCACGTAAACAGAACGTGACAATTCGTCACTAGTACAGCACACCGATGTGTTGGAGAGTAAATCTACACCATTTACAATCTGAGTACGATGTTTCGCCAGTTATTACAACTAGCTTCATCATTATTACTACCGACAAATAATTGAGCTTTTCAATGTCCTGGGAAGCCTCGCAGCTTTCCAAAGAGAGCCACCCCAAAAAAATAACTTTGATTTGGACTTTTAGTGTTTAATGACATATTGACCGTGGGACATGCACCTAAAACAATAGGACAGCCTTGCGGAAAACCAGGACCAGGTTGCAACCGCGATGACGTGAAAACCAACATCACATCAAAGTTAGGCGACAAGTCGCGTGAAATTATTACATTCATTGAAATAAACTGCAATTATTCGGCAGCGTTATGTTTTGTTTGTTTGTTTACAATTAGCGAGCGGGGAAAACCTGCATGACAGTTTCCTGCCACATTCTCCACTAAACTTCAGTTTGTTTCCGCCTACGCCGCAGAGGGATTCTGAATAATAACAATATGGAGAGCCTCAAGCTGGGCTCTTCACACTTACTTTGTTTCTCCACGAGGGTTCCCGCCATTTCGACTGTTTTTATGACCAATTCCTTTTTAATGAGCGCCCGCGCGTGTGGGAGGGAAGCTGAGGCGCCCCAAGCAAAATACCCACGATGCAATGTGGGGTAACATTCACAACGTGCGCACATTCACAGCGGCTCAACGCGTCCGTCGGCAGCAACCTTGTGGCCTCGAAATAAAAACCTCATCACTCGCTCCTTTGCTCATTCACTTCTCCAATTGCCCACTCACTTCGTCTCTCACTGATCCACCTTATCACCCACTCGCTCATCCAATCACTCGCCCATCCAATCACTCACTCATCCACCTTATCACCCGCTTACTCATGTGACCTCTCACTGACCTCATCGCTCACTTCCTCGCTCAATCATCTCATACCTCACGCCCCCCCCGCACCCAATCACTCTCTGCCCCGCCCCTCTCACCGGCGCAGGGCACCTGAACGACGCCTACCTGTGGCTGAGCCAGGCGGTGCTGGTGATGGAGCGGGCCCTGCTGCTCCTGCGCGAGGTGCGCGACGGCTCCCTGCACGAGGGCGTCGCGTACGCCTCCTACTCGACGCGCTCGCTGCTGCAGTACGTGCACCTGCTGCTGCGCCACCTCGACGTCGACCACACGGGACATCCCTGGCTGCGGCAGCACTTCGCCTTCCTCTACCGCACCATCCTGCCCGGTACGCCGGGTGGGGGATGGGGGTCTGAGCACCAACACCCCCCCCTCACCACCCCCCAGCTCCCCTCCTAAAACTAAACTTTCGTATTTTAACCAGGTAATGCCCACTGAGCTCTATAGCTCTTTCTTCAGAAGCGACCTTAGCTACACGTAGGCACTGTCCAGGTGGATGGGGCGAGAGGTGGCCGGGGGGGTGGGCAGGGGTGGGTGAAGAGGGGGAAGAGGGGCGGGGAGGGAGGGGAGGGTGTTAGCATGAATGAGCAAGTGAGTGGGTGATGACTGAGTGAGTGAGTGGTCCGGTTAGTGGTCAGGCGAGTGGGTTAGGTGGATGGGCGATGTGATGCGTGGTCAACTTGAGAGCCAGAATTTCACGATGGACAAAAGCGGCCCCGCATCCAAGCTCACCCCGTTTAGCATCCCACCGTTCGCCGTGGAGGCCTGTGGACCGACGCGAACCAACGTCGGTGGTGGAGTTGTCGAGCGTGCAGGCGGTGCAACTGCACCGGGGTGGCCCCTGGCCCCGAGGGGCCCGAGGCAGCCCCGCCCTGGGCAGAGCGCGGCGAGCCGGCACCGAGCGCTGGCGGCTGGCCTGCAGGGCCCTGGCAGTGGCGCCGGCTTGGGTCAACATTGGCGGACGACGTGCTAATTGGAGACGGCTGGGCCCCATTTCATTGCTCGCACCGTGCCCCGTGCCAATGCCGCTCGCGCGCGCAGGCGAAGTCTGCTCACGACGGTGGGACCGAACGCGTCGGTACGAGAGATGTAATTGGGCGGTGCTGGGCTCATCTGGATGGAATCGGCGACGCTTGGCAGCTTGCCTGCAGGCTCGACGGAGTCACTACGCCAACACCGCAATGGCCAAATCTCACCCTAAATGCGCCCAATTCGGTCGGATCTCGAGACGCTAAGTCGGGGTTAAGTCTGGTTATTACGTGGATGGGAGAATGCCTGGGAGTCCCACATCATACGTGGGCTTGGGCTGCAGGGTGGCCAGGATAGCATTCTTGAATCGATCTGTATGGAGCAGGAAAACCGTGCTAACCGAAGGAGCGTGTGACTGCCGCAGGCTTCCAGCGCACGGTTGGGATCGCCGACTCGAACTACAACTGGTTCTACGGCCCCGAGAGCCAGCTGGCCTTCCTCGACGCCTTCGTGATGCGCAATGGCAGCGGCAACTGGCTGGCCGACATGATCCGCAAGCACCGGCCGGCGTCGGGACCCGGGGCGCCCTCCCGCAGCCAGCGCTGGACCACGCTGCACACAGAGTTCATCTGGTGAGACACCAACCCCACAGCACCCCCCCACCCCCCCAGGCCCCTCCCTACGCAGCCTCTCCCTCCGCGGCCGCGCTTACGCCTGCCCACCGCCGCTTCCGAACCCTCCGACCTCTGTCTCGACGTCCAGCGGATCGAGTGCGGGCCCCCCCGTGTTGTTCCCCCGTGAGCCGCGCAGGTTCGACGCGTCGCTGACCCCGCGGCCACCCCCGGACTTCGGCTCGCCGCGGCTCCACGTCTTCCGCGACTGGGGGGTGGCGACCTACGGCGCGGCGCAGCCCGCCGGCGCCAACGCCTCCTTCTTCTCGTTCAAGTCGGGCAAGATCGGCGGGCGCGCCATCTACGACATCGTCCACGGCAAGCGCTACGCAGCCTGGGTGCGCGGCTGGCGCAACTTCAACCCGGGCCACGAGCACCCCGACCAGAACTCGTTCGTGTTCGTGCCGAGCCGCGGCGGCTGCCGGCGGGGGGGGCGGCGACGCGCCGCCGGCGGCCTGCGTGACGGAGGCCCTCTACGGGCCCAAGTACACCTTCCTCAACAACGGCCTCATGTTCTCCCCGCCCGCCGCTCCGGACGTGTGCTTCCCGCCGTGGCAGGGCCAGGTGACGGAGAGCTGCGACTCCAAGTGGATGCGCTACAAGCGCGGCGCCGCGGGCGACGCTCACGGCCGCCTGGAGCGCGCCCAGGAGCGCGGCGGCGTGGTGTTCGCGCGGGGGGAGGCCGCGGGGGCTTACGACGCGGCGCTGGGGCTCGCCAGCGTGCAGCGGAGCGCGCTGCTGCTGCGGCCCGACCTGCTGCTCGTCGTCGATCACGTGCGGCGGCGCCCGGGGGCGCGCGCCTCCCGCATGCGCGCGTTCTTCAACAACGTGGACGCCGGATTCCGCCCCGTGGCGGTGGGGGCGCTGAACGGAGCGGCGGCGGCGGCGGGCGGCGGCGACGGCGGCGCGGCGGCGGCGTCGGCACGGAAGCGTGCCGGATGTTCTGGGTGGACGACACCGGAGTGAGCGCGCGCGGAAAGCTGACCGACAGCCCCTTCCGGTCGAACCACTCGTTTGCGGGGAGCTACCTGGCGAGCGTGGTGACGCCGCTGCGCGGGGCCGTGACGCGCGCCGCCTTCGTGTTCCTGGGGCCGTCGCTGTCGCTGCGCAGCCTCAAGCTCATCCCGCGCAACGACTCCGTCACGGTGTACGTCATCGCCAACTCGGTGCTCTACACCGTCTACCTGCGCACCGACGAGGCCACGGCGCCCGCCGACGGTGGCGCCGGCGGTGGCGTCGGCCGCGGCGGTGCCGTGGCGATGGTGTCCACAGACAGGAACACGGTGTTCTTCGACGGAGGAGCGGAGCTCCCGGAGGAGCGCCCCGCGGAGGACGAGGCCGCCGACGAGGATTACGAGGCCGCCGTCGACAGGACCTTGGAGAGGCTGAGGGACACCTTCAGGGAGCTCGACGGGCGCAGGAACCCCCGGAAGCCTGCGCCGCCCGGGGGCAGCCGGCCTCGGGGCGGCTCCCGGAGGACTGCGGAGAAACGCGGGAGCGGCGGCAACCGGGAGAGGACCCCGAAGCGCCCTGCGCGCGAGCAGAACCCGCGACGACGGCGACCACGGCGGTGAGCACGGCGATGACGCGGCACGCGAACCCGCGCGGGGGAACAACCCGCGCGCCGACTTCGGCGACTCGGACTTCATCGACACGGCCGAGATGCACGACCGGGGCCTCCCGCGCTGGGAGTTGAACCCGGGCGAGGAGGGCGAGGAGGGCGAGGAGGGCGACGCGGCTCCATCGACGCCCGGGAAAGGCGGCGCTCGGGGTCGGGGCGACCGCCTGCCCGAGCTGCGGCCCAGGCCGGCCGACACCGCCGCCGGGGGAGGGTTCCGGAACGAGCCGGAGGCGGCGGGGCGGTCGGAGCGCGGAGCGGCCGCGGTGGCGCCCGTGCCGTACGCGCGGATATTCCTGCTCGTCAACGCGTGCGGCTTCGCGGCGCTGCTCGTGGCGCAGCTGCGATGCGCCGGGCGCCACTGGGTGCTGCACAACCACCGGGTGCTGTACGCGCTGCTCATCGCGGACAGCGTCGCCATCTTCGCCATTTACTCCACGTGCTCCAGGACCGACTGCTAGCGGTGACATCCAACGAGTCGCGTGGCAACATCGCCCCGCCGCCGCCTACGGGCTTAACGCCGACTCGCGAGCCGCCGCTGGGCGTTCGCCCTTCGCCGCGCAGAGACGGCTGCCACCAGGGTGTCCCGCTTGGCGAGACTGCCGCAGTGAGATTCGACGTGTATCGCACCGGAGGCGCGGCTCAAATGATGGATTATGATGACGATGATGAGCCGAGTGTGACGCCGGACGCATCGTCTTTCTCGGTCACGCAAACTCATCTCCATTGCTGCCAACTGAGACAGTGATGGAAATTCCACATTACCATGGTAGGGGCCCGTGACTCCATGGGATGACCGCTGTTGACTTCCGACAAAGTAGTGCTGCTCGTATTGTTGATCTCATGGGAAAGACGGCGACGACGCTGATGATGACGATGATGGTCAACCTCTGGTATTTGAACTCATGACCTCATGATTGTGATTTAAGCACTCTGGCCTTAAGGAAAATTCTAAGTAAAAGAAAGTAATGTACAAGTGTGTGCAAAGAGAAAATGATTTTATTGTTGTGTTGCAGATAAAATGAATAAATCTATTTTTATTTTCTCGTGTCTTGTTGCAAATTTGTTATACATGTGTATATATATATTTTTTATTCAGATGAAAGAAAATTCAGAATCATAAGTTACAGAAATATCCTATTTTGTTGGCTTACAATTTGGTGCTGGCCATTGTACCAAAAATAATTATAATCTTGATAACTCTAATCCGTATTCATCGCCCTAATTGCACTAATAGCAACAACCTTGCCCGTAACATTGCCCTTACTGCTAATTCTATACCTGCAATCCAAACACTGCATAAAAGCCACAATAAATATCCTTAACACTCATCCTCACACTAACCCTGTCCCTAACCGTAGCCCTCGCTGCCATCTGAGCCACAGCTTTTCCTTGAACATATTTCTCATTCCACCTGCAACCAAAAAAAACCATTTCAAAGCTCTCCCGTCGGTAGACATTTCCCTACAAAGGGAGAAACGCTCGCCCCTGGGGTCACCATCGTCGTCGTCGTTATTCGTGATGCCTCTGAGGTTGCTTCGTCATTTTGAGCGTAAAAACCACGGACAATGAAGACGAAGAATAAACTGTAGAGTGTTGCTGGCTTGGGATTGAAACCTCAAAGACGGAAGGAGCCACGTGGATTGCAGAACGCAGATGTCCTATCGACGTCTGAAGCCAAGCGAGTGTGCCTGGGCGGAACACGTCGTGCCGAGAAGGGACAACGGCCGGCGGTCGAGACTTGCGAGGGAGTGGCAGCCAAAGGAGGGGAAGCGCACGCCCCCGAGGGACATCCACTGCGGAGATGGAGCGACGAAGCCAGTGCAGGCGCTGGGTAGATGGTTACGATGCGGGTTAGTGAGAGGTGGCGATGGCTTGGAGAGGCCTTTATCAAGCAGTTGATTGTTCACAGTTGAAGCATCGGCGCTAATTGTTCACTTTCGTTTGGACATAAAAACTGACGCCCAAATCTCTCGAGTTTGCCTCGAACAGAGCTGTGTAAAATGCAACATGTCCATTGTTAATTGTTTTTTTACCCTTTTATCCGGCAACACAACTGACACCTTTTTTACAAAGAGTCATGTTTGCATTGACCACAATACCTGCGGTCGGAATGCAAACAAAAAAACACAACTCTGATAATGTATGCACTGTCCTTGAAATTGATTGGTCCACACTCGAGACAGCTTTTCTTAGAGCCTAGTCTCACATGGTGTTGGACCAGATGACGCCAAAAGGCGCACTGGTCCATTGTTTGCAACGTGTCGGCATCTTGAGGTGGCCTTCATCCAGCTGTGCGAAGTTTCGATCGCAACACAAGCAATCGTCATCAGGAGAAAATAGAGCTTTCGTGACTGCAGGAATTCATATTCTTTGGGTCTTTCGGTAAAGTCACGTAGAACGAAAAAAATAATAACAATAAAATGATAAAAATGAAAATAAAGTGAATGAATGTAAGATCGGAGAGTTCTCACATTTACATGCGAATTTCTCACTTTACCATCACTAACCCCGCCCATTTCGTTTATGACCCTTGGGCTACACCCATTTCAAACCTTTAAAACAGCCTGCATCAGCAGCTTTCCCCCTCTATTTTCTCCTGATGACGATTGCTTGTGTTGCGATCGAAACGTCGTGATATTTTTTTATCCATTCACTTTATTTGTATTATTTTATTGTTATTATTTTTTCTATCTACGTGACTTTACCTAAAGACCCAAAGAATATAGATAATGACCATTGCTCCTGCAGCTGCTGCTGATGGTGAAGCGCCGAGCAAATGCTCGGAGTGTCTCGCCCGCCGTGCCCGCCGACCCCAATGGGCCGTGGAGTGAAATTCACGGCTCCGAATCTAAAGGGGCCTCGCTTCACCGGAACACCATGACCCCCTTCCAACCGCCAGCCAAAGACAACTGCAAATCCTCGCCACCATTTCCATCGGCTCTCGGCGGGCCCCCAAGATGTTTAAAATGCCTCTATGGGAAGGTCGTGATTTTTATTTTATATTAATTAATTTTAATTTCATTTTTTACCTACGTGACTTTACCGAAAGTACTAAGTGTATGAATCCTTGCAGTCACGAAAGCTTCAAATCTAGAATTTATGGGAAGGATTCTTTTTGAAGCCACGGCCTCTTTAAAGAAAAACCAAAAACACGGTGTTGGCTTTCTGATGCGTTTCCCCTTCACTTTTTGTTTTTCAAAAGGCTCTGGTGTGCACATGCGGTGGGGGTGCGCTATTTTCTTTGGGCAAATTCCGCTTGGCAGCGACGGAGGAGAGGCGGAGAGGTTGTTGCATCGACAGCCGTGCGGTTTCGCAGCAGTGCCCCGTACACTCTGCGTGGCTCGGGAATCGGCCAGTGCTGATTTTTATTCGTGAGATGGAAGTCGAGTCCCCGAGTGAGTCCCCACTGCTCAATTAAACGTTGAGGCACTGGTGCTAATCGCCTCTTTACAACCAATGCAGAGCCAGCAGTGGAAAATTCCACATTCCTATGACAGGGTCGCGTGTCCACAAAGTAGGACTCATTACATCGACGACCCTGCTCGGGTTAAAGTGACTTTGTACTTTCACTTTAGTACAGCACGTGGTCACTTGAAAACGTGGACGGTGAGCAGCGAGCATGGCAATGACTCCGTCAATGGCTGACCGTCGCGTTATGGTTCGTCAATGACTCAGGCCAACTATGACGCAACAGAACTAACCGTGACGCGGAGGAACTAACTGTGACGTAACGGAAGACCAACATGGCGACTGGCCATGTACAGTACCGTGTGTGTACGCGTGTCGATTCACCGAGTTCACCCATTGGCTGATTCTAGATTTGGCTGACTTGAAAATGAATGGGGGTGGAGGAAATTGCGTGCTCCTCGCTCCAACATTGCATACTGTGCAGCGCGCAGTGTTTGACTTAGACGTTCCACAGACCAAGGGAAGGACGCCATGGAATCCACAGGCCTGGACTTGAGTCACTTCCCACAGGGTGTCGTCGATTAGACTCAGGATTTAGAGTCTTTGGTTGCTATAAATGTCCGGACTATGATAATCCACTTTGTTGAGCTATCATTTGTGGCCAGGTTGCTTCTGAAAAATGGCTGTGCAGCTCAGTAGGCATTGCCTGGTAAAAAAAAAAAGTTTAAAACGTTAACTTATTTTTTTCTTAAGCATTTCTTAACTTAACACACTGCGAAGAAAACATTCCCGGCAGGTGGCGGCGAAACGTCGGAACGTCATCGGAGTGGGTGTGAGGGTTCATCGTTTGTTGTCCTTCCCCCGCACCTCCCATTAGCAACGGGTGGCTACACACGGTGCGAGACATACAGACAATCGCGTCCCTGCATTTGCTGCGTCCATGTCACAGTGAGATCATGGGTGGCATCATCATCATCGCCATCACCGCCGTCGCCACCTCCTCCATCGACCCAGAGTGCTTTGACAGGGGCCTCGGGGCGGGCGAGCTGTGGACCACGGCCTGCGGTCGAAGGAAGCGAATCCAGGGACAGACGCAGGGCGCCGGGTGGGCAAGCTGCCTGGCTGTGCAACATGTGGTGCTCGCGTTGACGAAGGGAAAAGCTGCTGTGCTCGCGTGGCTACGGTGCCACGGCCGCTGATGAGAACCACATGCGCGCTCTCTTTCTCTCGAGCCGAAGAGGCAGTCTCCTTGACGATAAACACAAAAGTCGTGGGAGGAGGGGTGACCAGTATTTTTGACTCGTGCAGCAACTAAAAAATATGTATGTGTGTGTGTAGTTAAGATGCACATGCCTGTGTGTGTGTAATTATGGCAGGGCCTCTTTGTTGTGCGGTTGTTGTGTTTTTTTTAAACCCGAGCTATGGCCAGCCCTTTGATACATTTGCCCGGATTTTCTACAGTCCAAATCGCTCGCAGCAAAACGCGGCTTCATAAATAAAAGTTCAATCTTGATTCGAAGCTTTCGTGACTGCAGGAATCCATACTCTTTGGTTATTTCGGTAAAGTCACGTAGGTAGAAAATAAAATAAATCATGGCGTTTCGATCGCAACACAGGCGGTCGTCCTCAGGCGGAAAACACATAATCCAGCAGTTGCGATCGAAACGTCGTGATTTATTTTACTTTAAACCTACGTGACTTTGCCGAAAGAACCAAAGAATAAAAGTTCGGTTCATATTTTCACCATCTTCTACGACAGCCGTCGTGACGTCCCCATCCAATCACAGACAGACAGACAGGACCGATGGGACAGGCAAATTGTGGTTCATCGGTGCAGTCTACCTTCGTTGGAAAACGTTCCAAGCACGTTGCATTCACAGCTCGTTTAGTCGCTCCACTGTTGGATAAGCGTCTCACCACGCCGTGGGAGTGATGTGGGTTATTTGACCATACTTCACCAACGTTAGTTCGGTGCGGGTTGGCAAAGACGGGGAGCACAGAGTTAAGCAGAGTGCAGTACAACAGCGGGGTTCGCTGTTCTACCCTCTGCTGAATACGCAGGCTATTATCGCCAAAGCGCACGGAACACACGCCCAATCTCGTCAGATCCCAGAATTAGAATCTTTATTTATACTGGAGGAATCTGATGAGCTATTAAGCTCTTTTTCAAAGATATCCAGTCGGGGCCGGTCAGAACGTTACAACAACGAACAAGCTAAGCAGGCTTTGAGCCTGGATGGTGCTTGGATGGGCGATCACCATATCCAGCATAAACACAGGTGTCATAGGCTGCTTCCGAGGCTACGTTGTCAGTGATTCATAAGACCGAGAGAATAAGCTACATTTCGCGTAGGTTCCCACGTGTAGGACAAGCACGTGGGAATATCATTAGGGTGACGGTGAAGACGCAGGTGGCGAGTTTGGATTTCTCTCGAGGCATGCAATGACTGGCGCGGAGCTCCGTGTGACGCGCGGAGCTCCGTGGGACGCACGGAGGTCACAGGAGACGGAGCAGGCCTGGCCGTGTCGCACGATCCTAATGGTGCACGCGTCCATCGGTCACT